TAAATATATTTAGTTAAAAAATAAAAATATAAAAAAACACATATTTAACCAGCAAGGAAAAGTCAAAAGTCGGGCTAGGCGGATTATATGATACTCTACACCACTATGCATATTTAGTAGTGCTCCTGTAACAAAAGAATTTATTTCAAGTAGATCATATCACCTATCAACATTTGGCTTTAGAGCAGTTATATTTTGGTTTCAGAGGGAACTAATATATGAGAGACTATCGAATTCTGAATCGAATTTCACTAAATTTGATGGAAACATTTTAATCTTTTATACCAAATAAGATTTCTATAGATTGCATGATATCACTTTGAGAAGGATTATAATAAGAAAATATATATCGGAGACGAGATTCACAAATTGGAAATGTACGTCTCGAAATTTACTCCATTAGGTATGATATCATTGATATTTGTTGCACAGTTAACCCGAAATCGGCTTGAGATATATATAGGAGCTACATCCAAATCTGAATCGATCTTGATAAAATTTGACAGAGGTGTTTCTGGCCGGGGTATTTCTGGTAGGGATGAAACATATATATGGAAGCTATAGCTATGTCGAAACCGATTTTCTTTAAATTTGGTGTACTTGCTTCTATACTAAATTCGGTTGGATTGTACCTAAATTCAGGACATTTTGAGAGATATTGGCCATTTGGTGCACAATTAACCCTATATCGGACATATATATCCAAATATAAACCGATCGTGATAAAATTTGGCAAAGGTATTTCCGAGCTCCATAATATATCTGGTACCAAATATTATTGTTGTCGAATGTTTATTACGAATTTGAGGGACTTATACACCAAATCGGATGAAACATTTCTATTTATGGGAGGATTTACTATAATTCAGGATTTTTGGACTTGTATTAACCATTTGGTGCACAATTAACCTGAAATCGGTTGAAGATATATATGGGGGCTATATCCAAATCTGAACCGATCTTGGCCGAAATTTGGCAGGGGTATTTCTGGGCTGAATCTGATATCTGTATAGCATTGTTGTCGAATGCATATGTGAGGGACTTAAACACCAAATCGGATGAAACATATATATGGGAGCTATAGCTATATCTGAACCGATTTTCACCAAATTTTATGTACTTGCTTCTACACTGAATTCGGTCGGATGTGCCGAAATTCAGGACAATTGGACTTGGCCATTTGGTGCACATTTAACCCGAAATCGGTTGAAGATGTATGGGAGCTATATATAAATCTGATAAATTATCTGATTATCACCAATTTCAATAGGGTTCTTCCTTTGGCCAGGAAAATATTGTGTGGAAAATTTCATCTCAGTTGGATAATAAATGCATTTTGTTCCCAAAAATACGTACTGCATAAATCGACTCAGATAGTGACTCTATGAAGATCCTCAAAAGTAGCTATGGATCTATCCCGCTTCCAAATGCACAAAGACATAATACCATTACCACTATGTGGTGTAGGGTACAAAAAATGTTTGCAGTAACTGAGAAAACATATTCAACAAGTAAGCAAAGGTAAGCGACCATCTCCAAAAGCAAGAGGCCCCTCTGTATCTCCAAATTTAGGGTCATTCGTCAACGAAATCATCATAAAAGAGCCAGAAGTTCGCCTTTTGTGTATTTCAGATAACACCTGTAAGTAATGTTGGTATTTTTTCACACAAAAGTAGTGGTCCATTCTACCCGCTGTCCTAAACTCATGAGAGATTTCGTGTCCTTGGTTTCTATTTGTGACCTTTATAACGGCAGCAAAATCAGGAACATTTTTAGTTGTTGGTCCATTTTAACCCCCAAATATATTGCGGACATCTTTGAAAGCCCTTCTGAGCCTTGTGAAAATTTTCGTAAGGATCGGACGATAATTGCAATCTGTATATAATTACCCCACCTAATGTTGTTAGGTGAAAAAATATTACAGAATATACTCTTCAATATTATAAGTCAAATTGTCCTATTGAAAGTCCTAAAGTCGGGCGGGGCCGACTTTATGATACCCTACACCACTTTGCTGATTTAGTAGAGCTCCACATAACAATTAAAAGATTTTATGGGATAATTTAATCATACACGCTATGATTATAATTGTAATTTAAAGTTCAAAAGAATAAATATGCCGAAGCATTTGTATCTTTTAAATTCGGACTTGTATTACCCATTTGGTGTAAATTTAATTTGAAATCAGATAAAGATATATATGGGAGGTATATCCAAATCTGAACCGATCTCGATAAAATTTGGCAAATATATATTTCTGAGCTGTATTTGATATATTTCCTTGAATATCGTTGTTACGGAGTGCATATTACGGCTGTGGGTAACAAATACAACAAAACGGATGAAAAATATATATGGGAGCTATAGCTATATCTGAACCGATCTTCACCAAATTTGACATACTAACTTCTAGACTAAATTCGGTCGTATGTGCCAAATTCCATCCCATTTGGACAAATATTAGACGTTTGGTGCACAATAAATGGTAAATCGGACGAAGTTATATATGGGAGCTATATCTACATTTTTACCGATTATCTCCAATTTCAATTGGGTTCGTCCTTGGGCCAAACAAATGATTTGTGCAAAATTTCATCAGGATCGGGTAATAAATGTGAACTGTACTTTGTTTAAATACATGGACAGACGAACGGACGGACGGACATGCATAAATCGACTCAGAATATTGTTCTATGCAGAACAGCAAAAGGAAGTAAAATAAAATATTGAGATACACGATGTTTGTTTCGCATGCATATTCAAAATCCCATGTTTTATTCAAAATTTTGACCCGTTGTGGGAGATGCACCATTTATACCAGATTTTTTGTTGCTAGAAATATAAAGATGTGAGAAATGTGAAAATAAGCACATCTTATAATTATTCAAAATTTTGACCATAAAGGGAGATATTTAATGGTGCACTGATAAAAATATTAGGTTATGCGAAGTTTGAACAAAAGTGAATGAACCTTTCTGGTTCTGTGGGGTTAATTATTTTCTGACTTTTTTGGGTGAAGTTACAGAAGGAGTGGACCGATATTGCCCAACTCCGAACTCGATATAAGTTTGACAATAATATTTGTAAGTAGTTGTAAAAATAATGCAATACCAGCTGACCCGGTCTGCGTTATCGGCCCTGTTTTTATCGTTTAATGCTTATTTTAAAGGACATTATACATACATTAATATTCAAACTAATTTAATTTGTTCAAACAAAAAAAGGTTAATTTTGATGCCTTTTCAGTTTGAGAAAGACCTGTACTACTCTAATTATATACTTCGGAAATAATTATTAAAAATGTTGAAGGAAGGATTGGACCTATATCTACCATCTTCACAACAGATCTTCTGTTGATAGAAATATTGAAATGTGTCGGGTTTGAAACAAATTGGATGCTCATTTACTATTTTACGAGCTTCATTGTTATCCAAAATTAAAATCTGTTGTGGGGGAGGTACGAAAAGCTGTGAGCCGACATATCCCATCTTCAGACCAGATTTTGTTTTAATAACAAGTAAGGAAGCAGTAAGTTCGGCCGGGCCGAACATTGAATGCCCTCTACCATTTGGAACGAATTAGGACATTTTCAAAAAATAAAAATAAAATCCATTAAAAATTCTGTTAAAATATCGGATGGTGCCGATATATGGAGGGATAAACGATATTGTAGACCTATATAGACAAATCTATGTATAGGGATAAAGTACTCACAAAGAACCCCTTGTGTAGAATTTCAGACAATTACATTGATAAATGTGGCTAAAATCATTAAAATACCGAATATCGGGGGTACCGTTATATGTAGGCTATACGATATCGTGGACCTATATGGATAATTCTCTGCCAAGATATAAAGTGCTCTTAAAGTGCAAGATATAAAGTGCTCTAAATTGTGGATTTTCATACAATTCCTTTGAAAAATGTGGCTAAAATTATCAAAATACGGTATATTGGGGGTACCGTTTTATGAGTGCTATACGATATCGTGGACCGATATGGCCCATCTTCGAACTTGACCTGCCTGCAGACAAAAGAGTGATCTGTGCAAAATTTTAGCTTCCTATCTTAATTCGTTTAGACTGTGGCGTGATTACAACAGACGGACGGACAGAATTTTACGCTGATCAAGAATATATATACTTTGTTGGGTCTAAAATGATTATTTCGATGAGTTACGAAGTATGAGGTAAGGTAATTGATGGAGTGGACCTATGTTGGGATTTACAACTTTGGAGTAACATTTCCATGTCAGTGCAGTAAAATATATTTTTTGTGTGGGAGGTACCAGAAGGAGTGGTCCAAGTGTAATAATAAAATTACGATGTCCCAAGTTTGTACCAAATCGGATACTCCCTTCGAGAGTTATCGTGCGCACCAGCCAGCCAGACAGACGAACGGACATCGTCAGATCGACTCCAAATGTCCTGAAACGGATTTGGTTCAGAGAGACCTAGAGTCTAAAATCGTTATTTGGATGAGGCACGTTTTGGCAGTATCAAATGATATATACCCTCTCTAGACATATGGCTGATGGTATAAAAATAACAACGGTCTCAATTTTGGCTATTTTGCAATAACAAACAACAAGAGTGCAATTCTGATTCTGTGAAAATCTGAAATGAATACCTTACTAAAGGCAACAAATGTCAAATGAACAATTTAATATAGAAAATATTTTTAATTTTATATTTTAATAGAATCAAACTCCAACCTCCGGTTTTATTCTCCCTGATGTAAGTTTGCGTGATTTGTAAAATGTACACGAGGAAATGACTATCATCATCAGACAGGTTTCAATAATAACGTGGTTTATCAACCACCATGGAATATGTTATGCGGAATATATTTCATACTTTTTCTACGTTTTATACTAACTACCTGGACCGCGTTGTTGGGCCTAAATTTTAGTCTTTAATGCTTTTTTTTAAATGATGTTAATCTTGAAATGTCTAATAATTGAACTATGTAATATATAATAATAGATACTGGAAACTTACGAAGATTGATATTGAAGGAGGCATATCAGTCCCAGTTTAGGTATTGCTCTCATATACACTAGTCTCGTCCCGCTGCAACTCGTCATTTTGCCAGCCTCTGCTACATTTCCAACAGCATGAGCTCTAATATTCAGATTTGTGGAATCTTTTCTTGCAATAATGTTGCCAGGAATTCCTTCAGTGACCAATTCGTATTTTGATGATTTGTTTTGAATTTCAAAATTTAGCGATAATCTTGAGGGCTGATCCCTTTCTCAATTACTCAATGTTTTATCAAATGGGCTGCAATTTAGAATTTTGTATTCTTATTGTTTGACATTTTAAAACCGAAAAAAATATTACAAAATATAAAGTTAAATTGAAACGAGTAAGGAGTCGGGCGGGGCCGACTATATGATACCCTACACCACAATGCATATGAATAAATTTATATTGGGATTTTCTTTGAAGAAGATCATACCACCTATCACCCGTTGGCTTAAGAGCAGTTATAAGAAATCAGTTGAAGATATATATCACAGCTATATCAAAATTTGAACCGATTCTCACCAATTTCAATAAGGTTCGTCCTTGGGCCAAATAAATATTGTTTGAAAAATTTCATCTCAATTGGATAATAAATGCGACCTTCATTTTGTTCACAAAAATACATTTACAGAAGGACGGATAGACGAACTGACATGCATAAATCGAATCAGAACGTGAAGATCCTCAGGAGTAACTATGGGTCTATCTCGCTTCCTTCTCCATGTTACAAACAAATGCATGATACCCTTACCATTATGTGGGTGTAGGGAATAAAAATGTCAGGCGACATTCAAATTTCACAAAAAAAAAAAAATAAATAATAAATAAAATAAATAAATAAAGTATGACAAATCTATTCACATTTTTATAAGTTATTTTTGGATTTTATCCTTTTCTGCCAAAGACCATTTTTTGGTGTGAAGTGTTCAAACCCGTCCAACCGTTCTTGAGTTATAAGCGTATTTACGTATAGACCCTGATATTCGAAATGTAAATAATTTAAGTGACATTTTCCAACAATTTTTTTAACACTATCAGCCATATGGCAGGTATATATCATTTTATACTACCAAAATACGCCTAATCGAAAAAATGACACGATGTACTCCCCCACAAAGGGGTTAAAATTAAAAAAAAAAAAAACAGGAAGTGAAACGAATACTACCATATGGAACGAATTTTGAAATTTTCAAAAATATTAAATGTTAACATCGCCGTTATATTGGGGTCTATACGAAGATGTGGACCTGTACAGGCAACTTTTGATATAGGCCATTACAATATTCAAATACGAAACTTGTCTCAGAGTCGTGCAGGACCGACTTTTTGATACCCTACACCACTTTGCATATTTAGTAGAGCTTCACATAACAAATAAACTATGATTTTAGTTATAATTTAGAGTGTAAAGGATTTAATATATGAGAGGAATATCCTTCTCTGAATCGATTTCTACTAATTTTGCCGAGGCATTTGTGCCTTTCAGTTTGGACCTGTATTACCCATTTAAAAATTAAATTGAAATCGGTAACGATATATATGGTAGCTATATCCAAAACTGAACCCATCTCGATAAACTGGGAGTTTCTGAGCTGTATTTAAGATATTTTTTCCGAATATCGTTACTACGAAGTGCATATTACGGCTGTGCAGGACAAATTCAACAAATAAAAGAGTTATAGTTAAATATCAACCGATTTTCACCAAATTTGACATATTTGTTTCTAGTCTCAATTTGGTAGCATATGATGCATTCCCTCCCATGGTGCACAATAAAAGTAAATCGGACGAAAATATATATGGGAGTTATACCCAAATATGAACCGATATTGATAAAATTTAGCAAATGTATTTCTGAGTTGTATTTGATATATTTTCCCAAATATCGTTGTTTCAGAGTGCACGTTACGGTTACGGAGAACAAAAATAACAAATCGAAATAACAATTTGTATGGGAGCTATAGCTATATCAGTCCGTACTATGTATGCTGAAGAGTATAAAAACATAAAATGAGAATGTTCAAATTTGGTATTGAAAGTTCGTAATGGATACTACAGCCTATGACAGAAAATTGTCCCTACAGATCCACGCCTTGGTATATCCCCCATGTAACGGCACTTCTCGATATTCGGTATTTTGTTAATTTATCGACATTTTTCACCGAAATTGCTTCAAATTTGGTATTTGAAATTCGTAATAGATATTACATCCTATGACAAAAAATTGTCTGTGCAGGTCCACGTCTTTGTATAGCTCTCTTATAGCGGTACCTCTCCATATTCGGTATTTTAATGATTTTAGAGACATTATTCACCGGAATTGTTTCAAATTTTGTATTGGAAGTTCGTAATGCATACTCCAGCCTATGACAGAAAATTTTGTGTGAATGTCCACGTTTTGGTATATCCCCAAATAAAATGGTACCTCCCGATATTCGGTACTTTGATGATTTTAGCAACATTATACACCGATTTTTGTTTATTAAGTGTCGCATTTGAATGGCTTATGACAAAAGTTGCCTATGCAGGTCAACGTCGTCGTGCATTCGGTATTTTAAAAATTTTAACAGAATTTTTAACAGATTTTATTTTTCTTTTCTTTGAAAATTTCCAAATTTGTTCCAAGTGGTGAAGGGTAATCAAAGTTCGTCCCTACCGAACATAGTTTTTTTTCGTCATAGCTTGCGAAAAAAGCAAGTATTTTTTTTTTTGAAACTTGGTACGTCTAAATATTTCTCTCAAACAGACGTTTGATATGAAAATAGAATTTATCGGCCCACTCCTTGACTAAATGAATGACATGTAACCATCCCAAGGGTTGTGTGAATAATTCACTCATATAGTTAGATTTGGGTCGGGCAGTTCATATAACAGGATGCTGCGATCATTTGCATATGTGAACTGCCTCAATCCATCAATACTTGATGTGTGCCTTCAACACCACACCAATGTCCAAATTAGCATACTTTAAGCCAACCTCGAGTTTCCATTACAACTGCTATGCTACTGTATGATTTGAAATTCAATTCAGAACTTACATTGTAGTTTCTGATATTTGATGTATTTTCACACAATTAAATTGATACAGTCACGAGCATTCATGCTCTCGGTTGTAATTTATCATTATTCCGTTCCAATGTTAAACGTCAATGCCTATCGATTAGATCGACGCACAATTAATAACAAACCAAACATAACCTTTAGAGTGATTATGTCAATTAAAATGCATTCTCAAATTAAATGTCAAGACGATCATCGATAAAGTCCAGCTTTGAGTTTGATTTTCATTTTTGTTGTTGTTGTCGTTACAGCATAGAACAGAACATGGCAACAAGTTCATTGGCAGAACCATGATATTAACATTCAATGCAGCTTCAAATGAATGAGATCTCCTTTTTCAATAGAAGAGAATATAAACATTGGCGTAGATTGACCCATTCGAAATGCTTCCATTTGTACCGAAAAATTAAAATAATCCCCGAAAATCATTTCGACCACTTAGTAAACTAGACTATCTACGCCAATGCCATTAGCATTAAATAATAATAAAAAAAAAGAAATACAATAGTACAGGTTGTTCGGTTCGCTTTGTTTTGTCATCGACTAATTACAATGAAATATTTCATGAACTAAACAAACTTTTGATGGTCATCCAACCGCATGTGTGTGTGTGTCCATTCGCCTGTTTTACGTTCACATGCTATTTTTGTTGCATTGCAAGAACGAAAAAAACGAATTGTTTAGCACACCTGTTGGCAAAGACTTCGCGCAATTCACGGTGAAGTTTCCTCTTTATTCGGTCCATGGTAAATGACCATCTTCGTTGGCATCCATGCTCTCTGCCAAATGACAACCGTGTGTCCTCAATGTTCTCTGGCCACAACTAATTTAACAAACAAATTACAATTGACAAGATTCTTAAACATTTGGAAAATTGTTCTTAATGATTATCCGCCGAGTTAGTGGTCTCGGTAAATGTTACACTTAAATTGGATCCAAATATTTATATTGAATGGGAAATTTGTATGAATAATAGGGTGTTGTTGGAAAGACTATCGTTTTGTAAATTCACAGTAGAATGATGTTTTCCATTCTTCAAATAAGTAACCAAAGGATTAAGTCTGGCGGGGTGGCAATGCGCTATATTCAGGGTGAGGTGGAAAAAACTGCAACAAATTCAAACGCAATAACTATTACATTTTTTTTTTTTTTAATTTTATTGAATGGAAGAAAAAAATTTCGGAAATAGCATCAAATTTTAGAATAAGTTTAGATTTATGAATTATGGACTTCAAACGGCTAATGAAACCGTCACACGCTGCAGTCCAGGCACAATAGTCTAAGGGATTGATATCCGGAGATTTTGGTCTACATTGTTCGATGGAAATGTAGCAAGCAACCTCATTTTGTAACCATTCTTGGGTGTCGCGTGCTGAGTGCGATGATGCTGAGTCCTGTTGGAATGTCCAAGGCATGCGGCCAAAATGTTTGCGTGCCCAAGGCCTTAATACACCCTCCAGAATATTTTCGAGACAATATGTCACGGTCGATTAATACGAGCGGAGAGCGTCCATCGACTGTTATGGCATCCCACACCATCACCATGGCCATCGCTTGAGTTCTGGTGGCCAACCGAAGGTGCACATTTTCAGCTGACCTCTTTGGCAAGTAAACCCGATCATTTTGTTTGTGTGCAAACTGCTGGGTAACGAATGTTTTCTCATCGGAGAAAACCAAATTCGGCAGTTCACCACATTCGGCTAAGCGAAACAACTCTTTAGCTCTTTTGAGTCTATTTTGTTTCTGTTGCGGTGTAAGTTCTTGAACTTTTTGGAATTTTTAATTACGAACGGAATATTGCGATATGTTCAAATCGCTTCTTTACTTTTCAAACCATTTCTGCTGATTTTGCTGTTTTATTCCGTCCACTTACTTGACGTCGGGCTACGCTACCAATAACACGGTAACGAGCGATGGTGCGAGACACAAAAGATTTATTGACAACAAAGAAAGCACACTATCACGCTTGAGTTCCATCACGAATAACTTTTTTTCTAGGAAATTCTCACCAAAATGCTTTTGTACGCCTGTAAAAAATATAATGAGCTGTCACTGGAATAATTTTAACAGCTGTCGGACGAGTGGCTTATGAATGACAGTAGTCTGAATTTGGTTGCAGTTTTTTCATCTCACCCTGTATGTGTATGTTATCATACACACTATACGTTTCGGCAAAGTTTCAGTAGACCTAACGCTTTTAATTTGTTTTCTAAAT